AGAAAAGAAGACAAAAAAAGAAAAGACCTGATCACTAGATGGAAAAAATGAACACTACTATATAGTATAGGGTATAATGGAAAAAGCTTTGAGTTGGTGGCACAACTTGTAATTCAATTCTTATTGAAGAATCACATGATGTGTGTTGTATGTATAAGCATGCGGATAATGCAATCCCCGGGGGCATTTTGATACGGCACCAAGCACATGCAGTGTGGAAAAAACTGCACAAAGGAATGGAAACGATTTTATCTTAAATTTTTTTATTCCTTAATACTCACCAATATTGTGTAGAAAACCGGCATAACAAGTATTCCATCAAGGGTTTTTGTCGTTCCAACATGTTTAGTGATAAAACTTACTTGGAATGTCAATTTCAGTAGTTACTAACACTTACAGCCATCTTAGTCCTTTTGTCATGATTTTGGTTATCAAGACCAAGTATTTACTCTTTTTGTTGTATGTGTTGGGTTTGGTGTCCAATAAACTGTAATTTTAACACTCTCTCTTATTTATCAGTAAATAAATATTTATTCATTTTGAGTTTATTAGCCATTGAATATTAGAATAAGAGATTAAGGGTCATCTTGTATTTCGCTTGAGGAGGACTTATCCTAGACTGACTTATAGAGGTTGCCACTCTATCTGGATTGAAAGGTCAGATACTCTATTATTTAGGGTCCTTTTAGTTACTCTATTGATTAGGTATACAGTTTCTCTTGATAGTAGTGATTGACCATTCGGGAGTAATGTAGTAGATACACATGGAAGGGTACTGCACTGGACCAAGTAAAATATTAATTAATTTTAGCACACCGTACTAACAAAATTAATTACATGTGGTTGTCTTATGGATTACCTAAATTCTTTATGAGATAGTGATTGCCTAAATTTAGTTACAATCAGATGGTCGGAATATTGGGAGCAGATAGGAATCAAAGTAGTAAGCACGTCTTCACGTTCGGAATTCATCACCTTGTTCGATAGGTAAATGAGTCCACTTAAATATTTTCTATGGAGAATAGTTTAAATCCAAGTTAAATAATAAATTATTCTATGATTGTATCAAGAAGAAACTATTTAAGAAAATGCGAGCTACAATGGTAAAAATAATTAGGAGGGCACCATGTTGTTTCATCTTCATCTCGTTGTTCGACATCCGAAGGAGATAATACAGCTGATAAGTCAAGAAGATATAAATTGCAAGGAATTAATTTGTATTGCTTCTATGATTTTTATATGATTTATGAGTTCATTTTCTCGTTGTTAGGGGAGAAAGTCGAAACTAATGATTGTATTTGGCAGATTCAGATTTCCTCGATTGTGTATAGTTGTTGCAGCATACTTCATATAAGTTCAGTCAAGTCTATTTGGCAGTTTCAGTAAAAGTCCTAGACTTAATTACACTAATACTAATAGTATAGGGACAACATGTGCAAAAATAACAAAAGAGAAGTAGTAATGAATTGAAACAAAGAAAAAGACTCAGCCATATAAATAGAGTGCTACGGGATGGCCCAAGCATCAACTGCAGTTTATACTTTAGAAAAATATTTAAAAATGTTTGAGGGCTGGAAGCATGAAGATTGAAGATCAACGTTCATGAATGGGATCAAAGCAAGTTGCTGTCCAAGTAAAGAATTCAAGATTTGAAGTTCAATCACTCAGTAAGGGTAAATTCCGTAATCCTTTAGTTTGACTGATCATTTTAATCGTCAATATAATAATTTAGTAAAGATCTTGGGTCAAGTTCTGTGGAAAAAGTAATTTCCTAGGATTTTACTACTTTTCCAACGTTATGTATACTATGGATTCATCTAACTGTCTATTGGTAAATTATATAAACAATCTTTGACTTGAAATTATGAAATGATTGATAAGTTCATCTAATTCCTCCAACAATTGATATGTTGAAGAATTAATGGATATAATAGAGGAGATACAATTTGGTATACTGGTTGAAAAAGAATGATAAAGCACTATAGTGGAAACTAATGTAACTTATTATCGAGCTTCTAGCAGTGTAATGGTCACTTGGTTTATTGAACTTGCTGCATTTGTGCTGGTTGAACTTTCAGCAGTAAATAAATCTCTTCCAGTGAAAAATCCAGGTTGTTTAGCTTGAGGCAACACACCTTCATTAACCAACATCAGTACTAGTGAAGACATGCTTGTCCTATCTTCTGGACATTGTTGAACGCATAACAGTCCCACATGAATTGATCGTAACACTTCTGATAAATAGTCTGAGATGCCAAGGTAAGCATCGACTAATTCCAATGACCTTCCTTCTCGATAAAGCATCCATGCCTGCTCAAGTTGAACTCTTTTGAGAAAATAATTATCAGAATCCAAGTGCCAAAAGGACTAATTTTAATGGAGAGATCATAGAAATAAATACTCTGTACTGACATGTCCAAGAAGGTTATGGTGATGATCCCTGTTAGAAAATTCTCTGTT